AAAGAGTGTTTTGCATCACCGGGCAGTGACCCCCAACAGGGTGGTGTAGTGCGGAGCAAATAAAGAGTTTTCTGGTTCAGGGTTAAATTTTGAGCAGCGGGAGTCCTTACTTTACCATCCGCCTGGTTCAGGGTTCAGTTGGATAATAGAATCATAGTACTGGAAGAGACCTCACGGGACAGCCAGTCCAACCCACTGCATGAATGCAGGATACTCTGTCCCCATACAATCCCAGGCAGATGCTTTTGCAACCTCTTCTTACTAGTCTCCAGAGACACATTGCATTGTCCTATTGTTCTGACAGTAAGGACTCCCCCCTGCTCAAAATTTAACCTAAATCTGCTTTGCTGCAGTGTTCAAACCCATCGCTGCATATCCCGCCCTCTTCGGGAAGGGAGAACAGTTGTGTTTTCTCTCCTTTAACGCAGCCTTTCAGATGTTGGAAAACTGCTAACATGTCCTCCCTTAATCGCCTTTTGTCCAAACTAAACATACCTAGTTCTCTCCGCCTGTCCTCGTACTGCTTGCATTTGCGTTCCACCCTGTTTATCGTTGTCTGCTTTCACCTCTGCATCTCCTCCAATTTCTCCACATCTTTCTTAGCTGATCCCAGAGCTGCACACAGTTACCCAGTTGAGGCCTAACCAGCCTAAATGTAGGGGTGCTTTCACCTCCTATGACTTGTGTACAATTCTCCTGTCAATGCAGCCTAAAATTGCATTTGCTTTTTTTGGCAACGGCATTGTATTGCTGACTCACGTTCACCCTGTGATCCAGTAAAACCCACAGACCCTTCTCAGCAGTGCTACTGCCTGGCCAATTATCTCCCATTCTGTATTGGAGCATTTGTGTTTTCTTCCCTAGGTATAGCACCTTAAATTTGTCTTTGTTGAATTTCGTTCTATTGTCCAGGGCCCAGTTCTCTAATCTGTCAATCCTTTTGAATTCTAATGCTATCCTCGCTTGCTCTCCTGAAGAGCCAGAATGAAAAATTCAGTTTGGGTCAAATCAAAACAGAAAGGTTTGGCAAAGCAACGCAAAAAAAAGAAAAGAAAGACCATTTCATTTTGACAACGTGAATAAAAAATATATATATTAAGGGGGAAGATTTTATTTTTGGTACATTTTTAATCAACGTATTTTCTTTGTGTTTGGGGTTATTTACCCCCTTTTTAGAAAACATTTCTTGCATTTCTTGTCTTTTTTTATTAAGGAAAATATAAGAAAAGCTGCTTTGAATATGTCAAAACAAGATATTTCTGCAAAGAAACATTTTTTAAAATTTCCCCTATTTTTGGCTTAAAAGATTTGCCCAACCTGATTGAATTTTAGGAATAATTTTGGTGCTTCTAAAGCCTGTACTTTGATTAATTTACTACTTGCTGGAAAAAAAAAAATCAGCTTTAGTGATGGGGTGCCAACAGGAGTCTCTTCCATCTAGTTTCCTTCAGGGAATAAGTTGTAACAGTTAGGAAGCTAAAGTAAAAATATAGAATTTATTTGGGGGCTCTGTGAAGTTTTCTGACAAAATGCTCCCAACTTCCCAACCACTGTTTACTTGCCTTTAAACCCTATATATCTCCCAGCAACACCAAGACCTTGCTTACACAAAAAGCTGTCCCACTTTCACTATATTAGTACATACTCTCTAGTGACATAGTCTAAGCAGCACAGCTTTTTCCTGCTTAATAGAGGGAAACAAGCTATACAGGAATCAGGCGCTTTAAAAAGGCATTATACCTCCATCTACACTAGGGGCTGTTTCTGTATAACTATTTCAGTGAAAAAAAATCAAACCTCTAATTGACATCATTATATAGGTCAATTATACTGGTCAATACCAAGCACTCTAATCTTGTAACATTGCTGCCAAGGTGAAGAAATCAACAGCCATTCACTGATAAGCTGTATAAATGCTTTTAAAGTACATGAGCCAAGCCCAATGGCTTGGTGCATATTTTTACAAATCTATCAATAAAATTAACATGAATGTGCTTTGCAGCTCAAACAGCATGCTGGATTTCCTGCGAAATGCTCTGCAACTCTGGTCAAAAGGCAGTGGCTGAGTGAGTACAGGTACAGGGGAATTCTTGTACGTGTGATGCTGTCGTATCAAGTCTTGCTCCAGTTCAGGACCCACAACAGGATCTGGCCTCACTGAAAGAACAGCAAGTCAAACTTTCTGCAAGCTGTGGGAAGTCCTGGTGAATCCTATTTTGCTTATCATCATCATTCTTTTTTTTCCCAACCTTTTTAGTGACCAGTGGGTTCATGTTTTGTATATGGGTGTATTATATATTGTTCACGGGTGTCAAAATCCAAATAATAGGGGAAACTGAGTCAGAGAAAGGGACCCTAAAGAAATGTATAGGAAAGAGAGAGTGAGTGATATTTGGTGACTGAAAGGCTCCCAGTTCACAAAAGCTTATGCTCTCTATATATGTATGCCTTAGTCTATAAAGGTGCATATATCTACCCCCCACTTCTGACTAACACAGCTAACCAGTACCTCTCACAGGCTCCTTTGCCATCACCACCACATTGTCTGCATAGGCCAATGCCTTGCAGTCAGCTTCTTTAGCACTAATTAAAATAAGGTGCTCCTTTCACTTCCAGGTAAAGTAACCTGCAGCAAAATGGGTTATTTATTAACTCTGAGATAAAGTAGCGCAATTAATTAGCGCACTTTATTAATGCTCGGAGAATGTCACAGTTAAGCAAGGTGCTTGATGGTGTGCAGATGAAGTAATTCACAGTTAATTAGTGTGCTCATTAACCCAGAGTAACAATACCCATCCAGATAGCAACGTTCATGCAGAAGGGTTTTAGTGTGTTTTGCAGGCTGGTGGACAAGGCTCTGTTCTGCTGCTTTTACTGAGGTTGTGAGCATGTCTACACGGGGTGGGGGAAAGAGAGAGCAATTTGAGGTGAATATTGGCTAAGACTGCAACCATGTTATCCGTGCTACAGGTTTCTTTTATAATATTGAAAGCATGGTAAAAATAGACTTTTCTTCCTAGCAAGGGTCTGTGTGTCTGGCTATATACTGAATCTCTTACACATCTAAAGGAAGGGCTAGTTTTACATGTAAATGTATTAATACATGATCTTAAACTGATTTCATTAAGCTTGTATAAAAGGCTATTTGGATACTCTGACTGGTTTAAATTGGGCTTAACCAAGGTATTCAAACCAAAATAAAAGTGCTCACAGAGAAACTTGTACTCATTTAAATATGGGTGTAGGTGGGGCCTGATCCTGTGCGCCCTATATTTTGTGCATTGAAAGCTTCTATCTATAGTATCTACCTAGGGGTGTGCAACCATACACACACATGCCCACTTTGGTTAATCTATAAGATGCAAACCTACCCTGCCTTCTATTTCAAATGAACATGGTTACCTAAGTCTCTCAACCCTTACCAAACCAGTGGCATTTTTCCATCCATTTTTGTAATGGGTATTAATGCACAAAATCTAGGGCCCACTGAGGATCCTTCTGCAGGCATTTTTACCTCCATGGTTGCAAGCCCCTTTGTACATCTATATCATTATCTAGATAGATATATTGACAGGGATTGCAAGCCCCTATATATCTATCCCAAATATATAGCTATCCATGTATATAGGGGCTTGCAACCATGGAGATGAAAATGCCTGGAGAAGGGGCAGAGCACTGGAGAGTGAGGTCCTTTGTGCTTACTAACCCACAGGTGAAGTAACTCCCAGCTAATCAGGAAGCACTGGATGGGATGGAGAGAAAGCAGAGAGAACAGGAGAAAGAGGGGAAAAAAGGAAATGTATCCTGTCAGAAGCAACACCTCATCTCAGTTTGCAGACAAGAAGGGCTACCTTCAAAAGAAGCAAGGGATGAGTCGCCTTACCTGAGTAGAGGTAAAAATAAAAAAAGTTTGCTACTTTATCTTGAAATGTCGTACCCTCTCTTTGTGCAGACTGCTTGGATTCCCTCCTTTGTAGATAGGTTGTTGACATGGGCCCTGATTTCCTAATCCATGCCGTGAGTCTTTATTAATAAGCTTTTGCATGAGATTCTGCTTCCTTATGCAAGACTTTATTTTAGGAGCTGGGGAACAGAGGCAGTCTAATAGAGGAAAAAGGAAGAGAACAGAGGAAGAGGGGGAAAAAAAGTATATTTCTTCGGTTCTGCTAAGTGTTGTGGAGTATATTCTCCTTGGAAGTTCATTTTTTTTTTTTTTTTCAACTAGTTGCTCATTTAGGCACTCGTGTACAGAGATTGCTAGATAGTGAAGTTGTACCATCAGGATCCTGGCTTTTTGCATTGCTGTTAGCCACACTGTCTTAACTTTTGCTATATTCAGTGAATAATGATGTGGTAGCTCAACAGTTTTTGACTATATAGTGCTGTTCATGGATACAGTGAACCAAATGGAAGGAAAAAGGATTACCACAATAATGAATATAGCATATGTGTGGCTATATGACTATATAAAAAGCTATTGATTCCATATAATTCACCTTTAAATCTTTGATTTTTTTTTTCCCTTGTGTCTGCTGTGGAATGATTCCAGAAGGAGATTCTCATGGACATTTTATGCTTGTTGTTTAATGTGTGTTAAAAATGTGATTCCTTTATTTTATATATATATATATATAAATAATGGGTGTATGTCTTTCTGACGTAAAAAAAAATACTGCTAATATGCTTAAATATGTCAGAGATAAGAACACACGATAGTTTTATGGAGCTACAGATGCTAATATGTTGTGGGAAACATAGCATGTATTGATTGGTTTTATATTGGTATAACTAGAGAAACAGAATGTGGTTATTGATCTTAAGTGTTTATTTGCTAGTTTTCCGCATTTGAGCAAAAATGGTATTGTGGTAGAACAGAGTAACCTAAAGTAGCACTAAACAAAGGGGGTTTTTTCTGTCTATGTTTTGTCTTGATATGCAGAAAATGTTTCTCACCCAATCTACTCTTTTGTTAGGTATTCAGTAGCGCTGGCAGTAATATTCCAAATGTCAAAATTTCAATGACAATTTTCGTCAAAATTTCAATGACAATTTTGACATAAAAGCCAAAAAATTGGCAATTATTTCCCCCCATTTTTCAAATACTTTCATATTCCCAGAAATAGCCTTTTCCTTTTTTTTTTTTTTCTTTTCATGGCATAATGCATTTTTTAAAACTCTCTAATTACTTTTTATTTTGCCTGACATGGCTTCAGCATTCACTGCATGGAACAAGCATGGTATCAAGTGAGTGAGTTATTAAAGTAGAAGTTCTTGGCATCCCAGAAATGATGATGATTATGAGTTACAGCTGTCAGTTTCTGGAATACACAAAGGCACTGCAAAATTATATACTCTGCATGGCATGGTGGTTTTAAAGGTACTGGAAAGGAAGATTCAGGTTGTGAGCACATGTAAATATTTCCCAAAGAAAAGAACTGGCAGACTCAGGAGATTTATTGGTACCCTTTCACCTCTAAACTGAATTTAGCACTCGGAAGAAAGGTTAGTGAAGAAGAATAGTCAAGGATGTGGCTTAATGATGGGCAGTTCTCTGCGTGGAAGGCCCATAGGCTATGGGAATGCTTCACCTCTGCTGAAAAGTGAATGGCCCCGGCAAGGGGATGGAAAATGTCCAGGCGGCCACTGCATCCTTTCACCCCGTCAATGAGCCACCTTTTTAAGGGACCCATAGGGGAGGAGGAGGTATACTGAGGGCATAGGTGCCAGTCCCTGCTCACCCCGCCTGCCACGGCTGGCTACGCATGTTTGAATCGCTTGTTGGGGTTGAGGACTAGTGTCCTCAGCCCTGCTGTCTTTCAAAGCATTTTGCTCAAAGGAAAGCCCTTTTGCTCAGACTCTGCTGTTTCTCAGGGCTTAGCCCTACAAGTGCGGGGACTTATAAAACTGTATCCTTTCACCCTGTCAGTGAACAGCCTCTTTCAGGCTCAGCAGAGCAGAGAACAGACTGGGGAAGCCCATAGCACAGCCATTAGCGCAGCAATGATAGCAGCATGGCTGGATAACTAGAAGCCCTTCTCTCTCGGTGCTATTAAACCGCTACCTTTTTCACGAGAGGAGTACTGAATTCCTCCTCACCTTAAAAAAAAAAAAAAAAAAAAAGGGAGCCTTTTTTTCATTTCATCATTATCTAGGGCTCCCACATTCAAATGATTCTCCAGCAGTCCCTTCATTTTGGAGTACGTGCGTAGAGAAGGGATTGGAAGCCTTTTGATTAAGAATAAGAGGTGATGACACTGGCAACCAGTGCAGGGTTGTCATCATTACCGTGCACCCATACTTCCACAGAGCTTTCGCTCTTGGCTGCCTCTGATATAAAGCTACTGTACTCTGTGCCCTAATTGAATGGAGCTGTTTTATAAACACACACTCACACACACTTGCACACACGCACACAGATATAGATATTCCTGAATCCCAAAGAGATGGCGATGGAAGGAAGGACTGAGGGGGGAGGAGGGAAGAAGCAGACATGTCTAGTCCCTATCAGCCCGTGTGTGTGTGTGTGTGTGTTGCATTTCTTTGTTCCCTCCAGACCTGTTCGCTATCCACCAGAGGGTGGTTTATTATTGGTTTTTTTCCCCTAGAAGTTGAATGAATGATCTGACCACCCACTTTTAATCCCAAGATTTTCTGCTTTCGGCCCGGATTACAATTCACCCAAGAGCATCTTTTCTGCTTTGCTTGCCATAAATTTACACGAGACATTGAAGGGAAAACACCGATTCCCTTCTGACCCCATGTATTTACTGTTCATATGTATGATACTTCAGCGCTCTGCCTTGGTCACGGTGCTGTCCTTTCGGTAACAGCATGGGAAGGAAACCTGCTATCAACTCATCAGGATGCTATCATCTGTCTCTTGAGTTTTTATTCTTTTATACCTCGTAAGTCTGTCCAGAAACAGAAGCTGGGGTGTTATTCAGCAGACCACTTGTTAAGCAGCCTTCCCCTTTGTAAGCATGTTGCAGTGATGCTTTTTGACACATGCCATTTGTCTGCGGGGGTATTCTGGTGTATTTTAAGGGCTTGAGTTGGCCCATATATCCCTAAATGTCCAGGGACCATCTCTATTTCTGTGCGGTGTAGCAAGTTGCAGCCAACGAAAGGATCGGGCTGGAGCCTCATCGGTATAAAGAGCAAGGGGGCCATGGGCAAAATATTTCCCTTTAGGGCTTTGCTCCTTGGGAGTTGGCTCCCTCTGTAATAAGTGATGATGGCTTAAATGAACTCTTTTTGGCCCTGACTAGGAAGAAGATTTAAGTGTTTAATAAGGACGATCGAGGGTGCCTGTATGTTTAGGATGAACACCCATTCGTTTAGTATATAAGGCCTCATTACGGCTACTGAAAGCAAATGCTCCTTCTCCGAGTGCATCATCGGTGTGTCAAAAGAGCAACATTGAGTCAAAATTGGCAGGGATTTGAAGGAAAAAAAGGACTGGGCGCCATATGTAAATAAGATAAAGGTAATCAATCCAATCTCCTGCTTCAGGGTGCACATTGATTGCTTGTGGGAGCTGGGAAAGAATTGCCATTCCTGTAGGAAAGATTAACCTTCAGTTAGGTACCCGTGTGTCTGTCCTTCAGAAGAAACAGGGGGAAAGGAGCTCTGAGTGCTGGCCTCAAGTTGTACAATACAGAAACAAGGGTAAAGTTCCTCCAGGGTCATACACCTACATGGCTGGGCTTACGAGGGCCCGGGTTTCTACAGTGCCATGGCCTGCTGGGTGACCTCGGGTAAGGTCACCCCGTTCCCCTGTCTGTGAAATGGGGATAATATGTTCCTCCCTTTATAAAGCTCTGCGAGAAGAACAGAGGAGAAGACCATTTGGTGAGGTACTCGCGGTATGCCCCTGCTACACCGGGGTAAGGTATGATTTTGTTATGCTTGACTAGTGTTTCATGTTGCTCCATGTCATCCAATAAGAAGCCACTACAGAGATTTAAAAAAAAACAAAACCCAAATCAGGGACCCTACACTTCTTGCCATCCTCTGATCTGTGGTAGCACTGGGATCACTCCTCCATGTGTGGGGTGTCTTGACTTTAGCTCTTTTAGGAGATCTGCATTCTTAGTGCAACATATTTTGCTGGCCAAGCCTGGAGGGAGAACAAAGGAGCCCATAAGATGCACATTTCTGTGCGTGCTGTCTGTCAGAGAGTGACCCCCACCCCAAGATCTTTTTGTCTGCTCCCTCTTTGATCCCTATCATTAGTCCTCCATGCCTGCAACCCTCAACTGTTTGCTAACATGACACCACCCCCCCACAACATGCATACACATGCCAGCTTGGCATTCACACGGATGGTGTCAGCGAAGCTCCATTCGAAGTGTGTTTTCTTAAGCCCTGCAAGAGGATCTTGTCCTCCTGCCCCAGCTATTTTCAAGCCTAGACCTGATTTCCAGCTAGGTGGGGGCTTTTGTGGTTGCATTTGTCATGGTCCAAGTCTTCTTTGTTTGACAGTGTATGCAGGGCACCGGTCAACCACTCCTGCAGCGGGCTGAAGCACCCCAATTGCCAGCTGATACCCCACTGAGTGTCAGAGTACATGGGGTATGCATGCCGCTCTTTTGCTTGGGTCATTTAAAATGACGGACACTGGAGGATGGTAGATTAGTTCCTGTTGAAATCCTAGGGGCCGCCTGCGTGGGTAAATGTCACCCACTGCTCAGCAAATGCATTCAGATCAACTCAACAAGAACTCGGGTTTCAGGCCAAAGCAACCACTCGAAGCGCTAGCAGCACCTGCCTGCAGCGTAAGCATTGATTGAACGTGCTTCGGCCTCATAACACTTCCTGCAGCCTCCATTCACTCATCACCCCAGTTCCTTTCATGTTTCTAATGCACTGAAGTCTGCCCAGAGCACAGGGA